ATTTTCAATTCTTTTGGATATATACCAAGGCGTGGAATTGGTGAAGGTATATGGTAACTCTATGTTTAATTTTTTGAGTGTTTTCCAAAGTGGCCATATTATTAACATTCCACCAGCAATATAACAGTATTCTAATTTCTCCACATCCTCACCAACACCTACTATTATCTATCTTTTTTATTATAGCCAAGAAGATAACCTTTGAGCCAAGATTTAAAGGCACCGTGGGAGTAAATCATGGAGAATAGACTTCCAGGCAGAGGAACTGGCCTGCTCGAGCAAAGCCCTGGAGACCAGAGCATGCCTGATGTGTTCCAGGAACAGCAAGATGGACAGTGGAACTCGAGAAGTGTGATCGAGAGGACAAGTAGCATAGGATGAGGGTAGAGAGCCAAGAGAAGGCGGTGACCAAACACAAGTAGTTGAAAGGACTTTGGTGTTTACTTTGAAAGAAGTGGAATGTAACTGAAAGGGTTTAGCACAGAAAGGTGGCATGATTTGACCTGCATCATAAAAAAGTATCACTCTGACTGCTGAACTATATGTGGGCAAAGGTGGAATCAGGAGAACTGAAAGAAAATTGGTTGGTTTTGGCAACAATGGTGACATGCAAAGGTGGCTGGTATCAGGGATGTGGTGAGAAGCAGTTGAATTCTGCATGTTTTAAGCAACAAGATTTCCTGACGGACTGAGCGTGGAATATGAAAAAGGAAGGAGTCAAGCAAGATGTCATGGTTTGTGGGTCACTTATTTTTACTTCAAGATATATCAGGAAGTGTATTCAAATTCATTTCTTCACTATTAGATCAAACCCAAAGTTCTTAATTAAGGCAATCTCACATGTTTAAAAATATTAATCATGATAATAATACTACTCAAAACCTATTAAACATCAGATTCTTTAATCCAGTGATCTCATGAGGCAGTATTATTTTTCTCAATTTATGTATGTGTAAACAAAATCGTGATGAATTACTGGCAGCTCCCCTAATTTTTGTCCCTGTTTCCAACATAGGTTCTACTAGAGAAAGTCAAATAGGCACCCCCTAATCAGTCACCTGGGATGTCCCAATCAGGGTGTATTCAACTTGCCCTTTTTTTCCATTCTAAAGCTTTCACATTCCTCCATCTGCCTTTGAGTCTCTGCCAAAATGCAAGTGATGGATTCCTTTGCTATTGCAAGCTCTGAATAAATAGCCTTTGCTTGTTCTCATTTGACTCATCTTTGTTTATTTCCACAAGTGTCTCAGGTTATGGTGCCTGGGAAAAGACTCTCAGAGAAAGACTTGCATACAGGTTTATTGGGCAACACTCACAGGATGGACACCTGTGGAGGGGATGGTAGGAGCAGAATTGGGCAGATGGAGATAAAATGTGATACAATGATACTAGAGACGTCTGCTGACCCCATAGGGAGCTCTGAGGTTAGGATGGCCCTTTGAAAAAGGTATGCCTAACCCTGGGTTAGGCATTGAATGCAGACCACCTTAGAGAAGGAGAGGAACCTTAAATGAGACAACTTTCTTTGACTAAGGCCAAGTCCAAGGTAGGGTCTTAGCTATAAACTCTCAGCAGATGGAGAATGGTTGCTTAGATCTCCTTCCAAGGGGAGAGATTAGCTGACCCCATCCAAACAGAGCTGACAGCGGATCATGTCTTGAACCCAACTTTAAAAATAAGTTCAAAGCTCCTTTCACTTCAGCATAGCTGTCTTCACCTAAAAACATGACAAATGGAGATTTTGTGAAACTCATGTTCTTTCCTCTGTCCAAAACCAAAACCATATTTGTGCAGTGATTCAGACATTTTTAGCAAATGATTTAGAGTACAGCAGTTGGTTCAATTGAATATGGCATTAAAATATCTGAAATAAAACCCAACCTGACCAACCCAAAGCAGTTAGCTGAATTACCACATGTAGACATTCATACCCTTTTATTATTTCAGTACTTTGCTAAATGTTTTCCTTTCTCAATAAAGTACTGCGACTTCCAGCTTTCCAGCTTTAGATGCTGACAAATTGAAAACAAATTGATGTGAAAATATTACCATTCCCACTTCAAAGATATTTATCCCCTAGGGAAAAGTATTCAATTTAGTCAAAATCCTAATCAAATATGTCTTGGAAGTTAGTAAAATATTAATTTGTTCTTTAAAACAATCTAGTTCTTTAACTTACTTTGTCATTAGTGTTATGTGATTATCATAAGATTTTAAGCTTTATTAAACTCACTACTTCTTTTTGAGATTTACAGGTAAATCAGCCAGTACTGTTTCTAGATACGGGAACTTACCTGAAGATTATAAAAAGCATACATCAAGTTCTATCTATAAATTTGTCTGAATAGTCCTTGTATCTGTAAACAAGATGATAACTGTGACTTTTTAAGATCTGTCAACATATTCTCTCACTATCACAAGATCTTTTGAATAGTCATTGCTCCCAGAGCTTTTGGCTTTTTGCCTGTGTGTCCTGGAAATTCTTTCACACTCACCCTCTCACCCTGCTCTCAAAGAACCTTGATTAACTTGATTAACCTTGCATGGGATCTCAGCTAATTTGTAATCCCAGCTATCTTTTGCCCACCGAAAATGGTGTTCTTAAACTTTGAATTATAAGAATTGTTAGGGGAATCTATTAAAATAAGGGCTATCAGAGATTCATTCCATATTTAAAGAATCAGAACTTCTGGAGGTGATACTCAGACAAATGTATAATTAAATGCCTCTTTTTGGAATTCTGTTAAATATCACAGCTTGAGAACCACTTGCAAACAAATTGCACATTTCTAGCAACCAATATGCCGAGTTTTCTGCCTACAGAATATCAAGATAAAAGCAACGTTTGGAATCCATTCTTTTCAGCAGCTGTGTACATAATGGTAATCCATGAAAGTAGAAGCAACAGGCTGGACTTGGCCAACAGTGATCCATCTGTATGGTAAGACCTATTCAAAATCATGACAATATAAATGCAAATAATAGGGGCTGATCCGAGAAAAATACCTGTAGAAGAAACTGGCATGGCCTAGTGATTGCTGGAATATAAAAGAAAGATAATAAAGGAGTTGAAAATTACTTCAAGGGTGTGAGAAGATGGAGGCATCGGAAAAATGGCTGTGATTGAAATTATTGAAGAGATAAATATTAAATATAGCTCTGAGGTGAGGTGATAGGGAGGCTGCAAAGATAAAAACCACATACTTTAATTTACTTCAACAGGTATTTATAAACTAGATACAAACTATGTGCACTGCATTTTCCAACAGTGTACCAAGGCATGGTTCCCAACTTTGGATTTTTATTTTTTAAAAAAAGTTCCTGAACCAGGCACGGTGGCTCATGTCTGTAATACCAGCACTTTGGGAGGCCGAGGCGGATGAATCACCTGAGGTCAGGAGTTTGAGACCAGCCTGGCCAACATGGTGAAACTCTGTCTCCGCTAAAAATACAAAATTAGCTGGGCATGGTGGTGTGCACCTGTAATCCCAGCTACTTGGGAGGCTGAGGCAGGAAAATCACTTGAACTTGAGAGGTGAAGGTTGCAGTGAGCCAAGATGGCACCATTGCACTCCAGCCTGGGTTACAAGAGTGAAACTCTGTATAAATAAATAAGGTTCCTGGATCCTGCATCAGCTCTACTGAATCCAGATATCTTGGAATGGAGGAAGTCTTTAATGTACAAAGCAATCAATGCATTCAATCAATGGGCCAGCATTTGGGAATCACTATTCCAGAGACCAGAAACATGAATGAGACATAGTGTTTGTCTTTAAGGAATGTACAAACTGGTATAGTGAGCTCTATGCTGTATCAACTTTCCTAACTTTCCTAACTTACACTCCTGGCTTCTAAATTTTACTCATGCTTTCTCTTTTCTCTAAGATGTTTTGTCCTCTCTGCCATAAAAATATTATCTATCCTTCAAAATCCAGTCAAATACAAGGGAAATTGGGACCATATTACAAATCTCCCTTCCTACTTCACATCCATTACACAACAAAATACCATAAAATCCACCCTCATAATGCCTGCTTCATTCATGATCTTTGCATTTCCAGCTCCACCTTTTTAGCTCACTGGTACCACTGAATGGCCTTTTAACCACTCATGTACTCCAACTGCCCTCCTACTCTAATTTATCCTTTATGGTCCTATTTAATATTATTCCTGCACGTTTTAATTATAACTATTTTTTATATTAAAAATAAATGTTAGCATTTTCCCATTACCTACAAAGTTAGGGATAAAACACTCTAGTCTGGCATTCAAAATTCTCTACTGTATCAGTTAGACTTCCTTTGATTGTAAGCAACAGAACTGGTCTGGCTAATTTAAGTAGAAAAATATATGGAGTTGTTTACGAAATCCAAGGTCCAATCATTTCCATTTTTGTGTGTGATTTTTCTTAAAATTCTCACTTATAGAGAGTGACTGATGCAACATATTTCCAGCTCTAATTAATAGGAAGACAGGGGACACTGACAGAAAGACCGCCTATAATTATGCTCACTGGGAAAAGTTCTTTCAAAGCAAAATTTGGGTGCTGTTATCAAAAGAAGAAACAAATGTGAAGGAGAAAAGCCAAGAAATGCCAACTATCTCCAAAATAGGACTTCAATTCAACTGAAGTAAAACTGGATACAGTGGAGGGGAAAGAATTTTATGCTTTCTTTTTTGAGACATCAGAGGTCAAAATGGAGAAGATAACCATGGGAGATAATACTTTATCATCTCAACATACCCCATGTTGGGGGAGAAGGAAGGCTAATCGTTTGAAGAAAATGTTTTCAACAAAGTGTGGAATGATTCGAGAAGGCATTGTGACTCATGAGGGTAAAGATAAGCTGTTTACATTTTTGTGTGTGACCAATCAACTTCTGTATAATTACAATGTTCTTTACAAAAACACTGTATTTTTTGAAAAATAAGTTAGCCAGCACACTACAGGAACAGTCAGAATTTTTACTGGGGAGAAAATTAGTAGGGTAACAGTGATTTCTGTATCTTTAGGAGGGTAACAAGTCTTCCACTTCCACATTCAAGAAAGGCTCTATCACATCCCGTAGGTCCCACACGGTGCGGCGCCCAAGCATTCTTGGAAGCACCCTTTCAAAGAGAAACGTAGCATCAAAAAATAGTATGTAACATAAAAGTCCAGTGACGATGAGGACATAAAACATGATGAAAATCCTCAGTGCGTGTTTCCTACAAAGAGAGAAAACAATGCGTGTTAAAAAAAATTCTGAAAATAATCACATCTATAGATTCCTGGCGCCTCCACACCGGTAGCTCTATAACTTCAACTAAGTAATTGAGTTTCTCTTGACTTCAGTTTACATTTGTAAAAGCAGCAGGTTGGAATGGACGAACACTTACTTCTGTCCACGGTAGGTCTGGCATTGGAATTTCAAGATTCTATAGCCATGAAACAATAAAACCCCTGGATATTGTCGGGTTCTTTCCTTTGAAATGTCCTTCTCACATTCTAGCAGGTTATTGCAATCTTTACCTCACTGTTGAGGTATATAATGCCTCTTCTGGGGCAAATAAAGGCCCAAGCAGTTAGATTTTCCCCAGGACATAAAGTATAATGTGATCAAAGGAATTGAGAGTTCTTTGTTGCTGGGTTTTGTCCTGGTACCAGACTTTAATTTATAATGTAATAGAAGCTTTTTAAAATCCTTGAGGACCCCTCCTTCTGGGTTGCATCTATGGCGGATTTTATTTATATGATTCTAAGTCCTTGCATTACTATTTTCTAGTTATAAATATGATACATGATTAGGGTAGAAAATCCAGAAGAACACAAAGAAGAAATGTCATAGATAATCCAAGTGCTGAGATAATTACCATCTCTAATACATCAGAAGAGAAAATCTAGAGCATAACGCTAGCCGTAAATCAACTTTGTGACCTACCTCAATGAGTTTTACAAACCCGAGCCAAGTTTCTTGCCATTATCCCCACTGGCTATCACGTGGCAGTTCCACACATAATTGCTTTCACTTTACACATTTATTAAAGAGTCAGTGTTCTTAAGATACTCTATTAGGAAGGGGCTTAGAGAGCTGATAACAGGAAGCAAATGCGTCCTGCCATCAAGGAGCACCAAAGGCAGATTTGTTCTTTCTTATGAGAAGAGAAACAACTCACTACAAAAACATGTCTAGTAAATAAACACAGTTCTTCCTAAATTTAAAAACCAGTCATCTTTGGAAATACTAAACTATGACATCTTCAAAGAAACACATATTAAGTTTTTGGAAAGTAAACAAATTTTCTAAATCAAAGATAATGTGGAAAACAGAGAAATGAAGAAACTATAATCTTGTCACCAAAATATAACCAGATACATTTTTAATCTTTTTTCCTTTCTTCCATTTATTCATTCATTCTTTTTATTCTGTCTTAGTTTTTAGTTTAATTTTTCCTTTTTGTTTACACTTGTCTAATTTTTTTCTGTCCTGTGGTAAATGCTCTTGATACAGTTAAATTCATATTTATTTCTTGACAGGAATGAATCATTTGATTTTTACTTACAAAAATCAACACAATTTAAAAATTTAAAATTTCTATTACTAAGCATGGTATTTATTTTAAAAGGTCCAGATGTTTTTCTTTGGAAAAAATTATAGTTACTAAATTAAATTGAGGTTTTTCATATCACCTGTACAAAACCAAAAAATGTGTCACTAATAATTTTGTTCGTTTTAGGCTTATCTTCTGTAAACAATAAAATATTCTTTTAACTTTTGAATACTATTTATTTTAATCTGCAAACCTTGCCATGTGTAAAACCTTTGGTCTTTTCTAATATTTCCACATTATTTATGGTCAGTACATAGGGGACGACCATAAAGGGAACTGAAGGGCCAGAGGGCATTATCAATAAAAGGCCACCTTGTGAAGCTAAAAACAGCAAAAATTAATTCATAATGATTGAATTAATCCATAAGACAAACTTCTTCAAAATGTTAGTGTATAAATATGCTTTAGTTAAACCAATGTGTTTCCAGTTCTCTAACAGGAGATTGGGCAAAATTTCAGGCAATCTTAATTAGAATGTAATCATGTGAGAAAAAGATGAGCAACTCAACCTGATTATAATCCTCCCATGTAACACAATAAAGCAATAAGTGAAAGGCATTCAGCTATTTACTATTTGTTTGTCTGGCTGGTTGGTTTTGAGTTATTAGTTACATACTATAAAATTCACCTGACACATTGTACAATCCAGGGGTTTTTGGTTTATTCACAAGGCTGTACAATCATCACCACCACTATCTAATTCCAGGAAATTTTCATCACCCCAAAAAGAAACCACATTCACTGAGGCAGTCACTATCTCCCTATTCCCCAACACTCTGTGCCTGGCAACCATGAATCTACTTTTGATCTATTAGGATTTTCCCACTTTGAACATTCATATATATGGAATCATTTCAATATTCCTTTGTGCGTGGCTTTCATTGGACATAATGTTTTCTAAGATCATGTAGATGTATCAGTACTTCATTCTTTTTTGCAGCTAAATAAATACTTCACTGTGTGGCTACACCATATTTTGTTTTTCCATTCCTCAGTTAATGGACATTTGGATTGTTTCTACTTTTTGGCTATTATGAATAATGCTGCCATAAACATTTGCATACAGGCTTTTGTGTGGACATACATCCTCAGTTCTTTTGAGTATATATCTAAGAATATAACTGCTGAATCATGTGGTAATTCTATATTTCACTGTTTTATAAAGTGCCAAATTGTCTTCAAAAGTGGTTGTACCATTTTACAATCCTGCTAGTGATATACAAGGGTTGCAATTTCTCCACATCCTCTTCAATGCTAGTTATTGTCTGTCTTTTTTACTGTAGTCATCTTAGTGGATGTTAAGTGATATCTCACTGTGGTTCATTGTGGTTTTGATTTACATTTTTTTAATGACAAATGATGCTGAATGTCTTTTCCTGTGCTTGTTGACCATTTGTGTGTCTTTGAACAAATGTGTATATAAGTCATTTGCCTATTTATCAAACTGGGTTGTTTATCTTTTTGTTGTTGAGTTGTAACAGGTTTTTTCCCCCCACAGTTGGCAAATGTTCTTAATGTTCTTGTGTTTGTATCATGATTGTAAAAAAAAAAAAAAAAAAAGGCAAACAATTCTATTGACCACTTTGGTAAAAACATACAGTGTTCAAACCTAAGCAGGATTACATCCTTTGGACAGGTTTTGTTCTAGGGATATGGAACCCCTCGGCCATGACAGCCTCTACTGCTTCACACAGCCATGCATACCACATGTTCACCTTCAATACCTCTCCAGTCTTGTCGATCTTTCTCCACACAATAGCAGTGAAAATAGAACTCTGTGAAAGTAGTTGCCAGCCAATATATAGAACCACAAGAGTGTGCAGAAATAAGTCATCTAAAATCTTTTGCAGTATCTCAGGGAATCATAAAATGCACCAGCCTTGTTTCCATTCCTTCTTATGGTGCAAAATAATCTTGGTCTGTCAAGCAGTGTTTTGGAGCATCTCTTCATCAATATTGGCCACGTTTGCAGTAGACCTGGTTCTAGTGAAACCATGCAAAAAGGAAGCAGCTGTATTTCCTCTGTCATCTAGCATTTTGTCAAATGAGAAGATGTTGTCAGTCAACCGGTTATGGGAAAGTTCAGTTTATTTAATACAGCCATAAGCAACAGATGTCTAAGTAGCCTTCGATTCCTCTGCAGTTAAGACCTTGTCTCTTTCTTTTTCTTTCAATTTGTCCATGGATCATTATTGTCCTTACTCCAGGCCTATAAGATGAACTGTTTCATCTGAATATATATTAAACTTCTTCCCCTAGCATCACACTGAACCCAGCATGGGAGACTTGAGTTACTTTAGGGTCATACCAACCAATCATTTGAGCAGCAGAAAATATTTTCTGGAAGTACAGAGATTGTCCACTGTCTACCCAGAGATAACCGTATCTGCTTTTTCCTCAAACAGTATTTGTTCAAGAGAAGCCAGATGAGATGCATCATAGTTATAACCTCCATCTGATTTTTTTTTTTTTCGAAACCAGGTCTCACTCTGCTGCCCAAGCTGGAGTGCAGTGGCATGATCTCAAGGATCACTGTAGCCTTGAATTCCCCAGCTCAGCTGATCCTCCCACCTCAGCCTCCCAAGTAGCTAGGACTACAGGCATGTGTCACTAATTTTTTTTTTTTTTTTTTTGGTAGATACAAGGTTTCGTCATGTTGCCCAGGCTGGTCTGGAACTCCTGGGGCTCAAGTGATCCACTTGCCTCAGCCTCCTGAAGTGCTTGGATTACAGGCGTGAGCCACTGTACCCAGTCTCCATCTGATTTTACCGTGGTTAATGCCATGGAAAATCCTGGGACCAACACAAACTTTCTGCCCTTATCCACTTGCACAAATCATCTATCATGAAATTCCTTTACATCATTCATCCTATCTTGATAGAAGGATTCCCTCTATCCATTAAAGAGATGTCCAGAGCATCATAGATTTTTACTAAACCCTTGGCAGGAGACAGCACAGATAAACATCCAAGCTTTTATAATATCTAGGTTTTTACTCTGGAACAGAATGACACACTGATATGCTCATTTCTTAAACTCCTCCTCAGTAACAAATCTCTTAGATTACTTATAAAAGGCCTGAAGATTCCCAATAGAAGGTGAAACTGTTAGATAAGCTGGAAATTTATTTTGCAGGTGAGCAATATGCATGCCAAGCTGGGTCCCTTATCTCCTACATGGTTTAAGCTGAGCACATCACATCCTGCAAATTCAAAGAGGTGGCATATGCTCTCTCCTATAATGGTCGACCTGTGGTAGCATCTCAGTATATGTCAAGTTCCAAAATTATGAAAACAAATTCATGCTTTTATGTACCCCTTGGAATATTAGGAGAAGACACGTGAAAAATTTAATTTCAATAACATGCTATGGGCTCTCTGATAGGATTATGTGTAAGATGTGCACATAAACTTTTACAACTCAACAGCAAAAAACAAACAAAAAACAATTTTTTAAAAAATGGGCAAAGGACTTGATAGAAGACAGAGCTGAGATTCCATTTGGGTTGGTGGCTGGAGGTAAAGAATCAAAAATGTTTCCTTAGAGGAAATTACTGCTCAGAGTGTAAATGATGGTGTGGCATCTCCTGAACAGGATCCAAAGAGCCAGCATTTTCTGGTTATGTGTTTCCAATATTATCCAAGGGGAAGGCATCCTGCCCAGCAAACAAAACTTATCAAATTTCTTATCAGTTATGTTCTTTTGGTGGAGGCAGTTGCCTCATCATGTGTAGATACCATCTTTTAAGATTTTAAATAGAGATAGATTTTAGAGACAGAGATATATATAGATATATAGAGATAAATCTATTTATATCTCTCTATACATAAATCTCTGTATATCTATAGAGATATATAGAGAAACTTCTTCAAATTTGTAGCCATCATGGGAAGAAAATTTAAAATTAAAGTATTGACTTAATGTTGTTTGAAAGAGTCTTGAGGCAAAAAGGAACAGACTAACTAAAAATACAATTGACATTAATAGCCACCCACAGGAGGTCTTTGTTCGTATATCTTCGGTCATATATCCTTGTATTTATCTAAAGCAATAAGAAAGCAATCTATATCTATATATTGAATGCAATAGATCTATATCTAAATAAGAAAAATACTATGACTCCAATAACATATAGACTTTTAAAGAACATAGATAATTTACAAAAGAAAATAAAACATTTTAATCAATACTTGAAAAAAAAATCAGTCTCAGCAGAATCCATACATTTTGGGGCCTTCATCCAGTCCTGCATGGCCCTTTGCACTGACTTACCACACTGTAATGGGGGGAAGAGAGTTCTGCACTAAAAAGGATGCTGGGGCCTGAGGAAGCAGGGACTCCATCTCCTCCATATCTGTTTCTTCAGAACTGTGAGACTCAGTGTCCTCTGCTTCCATTTGATACATCCTCAGCTTTGCATTCAGCAGATTCACATTCTTGCAAAGTTTCTGGAAAAAAAAAAAAGAGTAATCAAGTACCTTAAAAAAATTCTAAATGTCTTCAAGTCTTTCTATAGATAATGCAGAGTGCTTTTCCTCTGGATCACCTCAGGGACCCACATTAGAAATCACATGTAGGTCCCAGGTAAAGATCATTGGCAGGTGCATCTTAAATGGAAGGAGACTTTCGCATTCACAGTGTAAGGTAACACCACAGTAGGAAACTAAACAAAACCCACATGCTAATCTTTAACCACTAGATTATTAACGTAGAAAGATATCCTTGTACTGAATTCCTCTACTCAATTCGTTCATCTATGCAAAGCATATTTATTGGGTGAGTACTGCTACTAGCTTCTAAGATACAGTGTTAACAAAATAGACAAAGAATGCAATCTATTACAGGAGCTGGGGGCAAGTGATAAACACTTAACGCATACATACATTCTATATTACGTGTTAAGATACATGCTAAAGAGAAAACAGATAGGGTGTGGGATCAGAGAGTGGCTGTGGTTTGGTGATGGGGTCATCTAGTTGAGACAGGTGGGATGAGTCAGCCTCAGAGCAGCTGACATTCATTCTTGAATGAAGATATACATGAAAAATGATACATTTATTCTTTCGTTGTTTCATTCACCCAATCACATTTACCTCAGTGTCTAAGATCTTGTGGGAGGAGTTCAAAGATGAAGTTATTTTTTGAGGTAATGGAAATTAGGAGACGTCTCAATGAATAGATGACCTGTGAGCTTAGCCTTGAAGAATGGCTAATGTGTAGACATAAAGGGCAAGCATCAGATAGTGGGATAACAAGTAGAGGTAGCACAGGGGTATGAGAGCTTGGGAGTACACGGGAACTGCAAACGTTCTGTTGGTCCAAGCAGAAGGCCAGAGGGGAGGAAGAAGGCCATAAGACTAGAAACCATCATTCTCAGCAAACTAACACAGGAACAGAAAACCAAACACCACGTGTTCTCACTCTTAAGTGGGAGCTGGACAATGAGAACACATGGACACAGGGAGGTGAACATCACATACCCAGGCCTGTCGGGGGTTGGGGGGCCAGGAGAGGGATAGTATTAAGAGAAATACCTAATTTAGATAACGAGTTGATGGGTGCAGCAAACCACCATGGCACATGTATACCAATGTAACAAACATGCATGTTGTGCACATGTATCCCAGAACTTAAAGTATGATACTAATTTTAAAAATAAATAAAAATTAAAAAAAAGAAAAAGACCAATATGTGTTGCGCCATCACTCTAGGCAAAGAATGACCACTATATTTAGATATAAATTATCTGATCTTACTATTGTTGGAATTGTGTAACTGAAAACTTACCTCCATTCTTTCCATGACTTTCTTCCTTAATTTATAAGTTTCATTACAAGCATTCACCTAAAAAGACATCCACAGTTCTCGGTAAAGTGAAATTTATATTTTTCTGGTTTGTACAATAAAATCTCACTTATTCTGAAAACACTTATAAAGTGCTTCATTGAAATTTACTTTTACTCAGTAAATTTTTTCCTCTTAGAGAAAATTCATGGTGTAATTATAAATTGCAGACTGTAAGTGTATAACCATAGGATTAACAAGATTATTTTCAATACTTCAGAAGTATGCATTTACACAACAGCAGTTAATAAGAAACCATGCTTCCCTCTACTCATTACTCCTTCCTTGCTCCTTAAAAAACTTCTACCAGGACACAAATTGAAAAAACATAGTTACGTTTCCGAGAAAATATTTCTTTTAAATATTTAAAATTTTAAAATTTGTGAATGTAAGTCTTCATTATGTCAGATTGAATATTCAGGCCCAACAGCTTTGCAAAAGAGCTGGCCACAAAGATAGCTGGTTCTTTTCCTCTTCTCATGTCTCCTACAGGTTGCCAGGTAGAAATAACAGATGGTTTTGGCTGGTTTCTGTTAGTAAGCACAAGACACAGGCTAAAAGCAAACCATCACCTTCTAAGACATGGCACGTGTGTCACAAGTAAAGAATGCCTTTAAAGGTTTTAAATTAATCATGCACTAAGAGACATTCAGGATACCCTGAAAAGCAGAGCTGCAGCAGGAAAAAGAGTATACTGGGATTCAATAAAAATGAATTTTAAAGATGATACTTACAGAAATTGATTTTCTTTCTTTCTTTTTTTTTTTTTTTTTTTTTTTTTTTTTTTGGAAACAAGGTGTCACTCTGTCATCCAGGCTGGAGTGCAGTGGTGTGATCATGGCTCACTGCAGCCTCTGGTGATCCCCCCACTTCAGTATCCTGAGTAGCTTGACTACAAGCATGTGCCACCATGCCCAGCTAGTTTTTTACATTTTTTGTAGTGATGGGATCTCTTTCTTTTTTTTTTAACTTTTATTTTAAGTTTAGGGGTACATGTGAAGGTTTGTTACACAGGTAAATTTATGTCATGGGGGTTTGCTATACAGATTATTTTATCACCCAGGAATTAAGCCCAGTAACCAACAGTTATTCTTTCTGCTCCTCTCCCTCCTCCCAGCCTCTACCCTCAAATAGACCCCAGAGTCTGTTTCCTTCTTTGTGTTCATAAGTTCTCATCATTTGGCTCCCACTTATAAGTGAGAAAATGTGGTTTTTTGTTTTTGTTTTTGTTTTCTTTTGAGACGGAGTTTCGCTCTTGTTACCCAGGCTGGAGTGCAATGGCTCGATCTCGGCTCACCGCAACCTCCGCCTCCTGGGTTCAGGCAATTCTCCTGCCTCAGCCTCCTGAGTAGCTGGAATTACAGGCACGTGCCACCATGCCCAGCTAATTTTTTTGTATTTTTAGTAGAGACGGGGTTTCACCATGTTGACCAGGATGGTCTCGATCTCTCGACCTCGTGATCCACCCGCCTCAGCCTTCCAAAGTGCTGGGATTACAGGCTTGAGCCACCGCGCCCGGCCGAAAATGTGGTATTTGATTTTCTGTTCTTGAATTAGTTTGCTGAGGATAATGACCTCCGGCTCCATCCATGTTCCCACAAAAGACACGATCTCATTCCCTTTTATGGATGCACAGTATTCCATGGTGTATATGTACCACATTTTCTTTATCCAATTTGTCACGGATGGGATTTTAGGTTGATTCTATATCTTAGCTATTGTGAATAGTGCTGCAATGAACATTCATGTTGATGTGTCTTTATGGTAGAATGATTTATATTTCTCCGGGTATATACATGATAATGGGATTGCTGAGTCAAATGGTAGTTCTGCTTTTAGCTCTTCGAAGAATAACCACACTGCTTTCCACGATGGTTGAATGAATTTACACTTCCACCAACAATGTGTAAGTGTTCCCTTTTCTCCACAACCTCGCCAACATCTATTATTTTTGGACTTTTTAATAATAGTCATTCTGACCAGTGTGTCAGATGATATCTCATTGTGGTTTTGATTTGCATTTCTCTAATAATCAGTGATCTTGAGCTTTTTTTTCATGTTTCTTGGCCACAGGTATGTCTTCTTTTGAAAAGTGAAGACAGGGTTTCATCATGTTGCCTAGGCTAGTCTTGAACTCCTGGCCTCAAGCAACCCGCCTTGGCCTCCCAAAGTGCTAGGATTATAGACGTGAGCTACTGTGCCCAGTCTCAGAAATAGATGCTTAAAGAAGTACTTGGAAGAGCAATCAAAAGCATGGGTTTTTGAGGCATAGTTTGTAATGGTAAACATTGATTAGAAAGCCCCAAATATCCAACAAAATAAAATTAATAAATTAAAATATCAAGCCCTGCATTATATTGGAGTGAAAAAAAAGTAAAATGACACCTACTAGCAGAGAAAATTGTTGAAGAAAAAATGGTAAGAGCTGAAGCAGTTGCAAAACAATATGTGTAATATGATCCCATCAAAACAACAATGTGTAAATGTATGTATAAAAAATTTGGAAGAATACAAATATACTAACATGTTCATTGTGTTTGTCTTTAAGGGAGGAGGATTAGTTTTCATTTTTATATGAAATCATTTCATAACGTTTTGTTAAAATAAGCATGCTGCCAGCCATGGTGTCATGGCCCACACCTGTCATCCCAGCACTTGGGAGGCCAAGGTGGATGGATAGCTTGAGGTTAGGAGTTCAAGACCACCCTGGCCAACATGGTGAAACCCCTTCTCTACAAAAAATACAAAAAAGTGAGCCAGCTGTGGTGGTGTGCCCCTGTAGTCCCAGCTACTGGGGAGACTGAGGCACAAGAATCACTTGAACCTGGGAGGTGGAGGCTGCAGTGAGCCGAGATGTTGCCACTGATCTCCAGCCTGGGCAACAGAATCAGACTCTATCTCACAAAAAAATTATATATATAAAATATATATACATACACATATATATTTTAAAATTATATATATGTAATATATATATACACACACACATACATATAATCAGCATGCCTTACTTCTTGTAAAAGAAAAAATACATGTGTATGTGTGTGTGTGTGTGTGTGTGTGTGTGTGTGTGTGTGTGTGTATCTATAATGGGAAAGGAAGTGAAAGACCAGCTCTTTGCATCTGGAAATATGGGCAAGTCACTTCATCACTGCATCTCTTTGAGTCACACTTTTCATTTCTGAAAATGAGGGTACAGACTAAGCAACAGTAAGTTCCCTTCCGGATCTAAAATTCTGAGTATGTCTTTCATTGAATTTTAGATTCCATTTCCTGAAATTCTCTAAATCTGGGATTTCTTTGAAGCACTGTTTTCTTCCTTAATTGTAAAAACATTTTGTCACTACCTTGTCAAATTTGTTATCCAGTTCTTCTAATTGCTTTCTACATTTTCATGATCTCCCATTTAAAAAAGGGAGTATAAAACAAAAGTTGGGACCAGGTGTGGTGGCTCATGCTGGTAATCCCAGCACTTTGGGAAGCTGAGGCAGGAGAATGCTTGAATCCAGGAATTTAAGAGCAGCCTGGGCAACATAGTGAGACCTCCTACCTCTACAAAAAACTAAAAATTGCTGGGCGGGGTGGCACACATCTGTAGTCCTATCTACTTGGAAACCTAAGGTGGTAGGATTGCTTGAGCCTGGGTGTTCAAGACCAGCCTGGGCTGATGACATGATGACATGGTGAAAACCCATATGTACAAAAGAGAAAGAAAGAAAGTAAAGAAAAATAAAAAAGAAAAATTAGCTGGGTGTTGTGGTGTGTGCCTGTAGTCTCAGCTACTCAGGAGGCTGAGGTGGGAAGATCACCTCCTGAACCCAGGAGGTAAAGGTTTCAGTGAGCCATGATGGTGCCACTGCACTCCAGGCTGGGTGACAGAGTGAGACCCTGTCTTCAAAGAAAAAAAGTCGTAATGAATGATATGTGGAATTTAAGCAAAACAAATGATTTTTAGGAAAAGGTCATTTGTGATAGAAAACAAAGTCTGAGATTTAATAGAAGCTGTATTTTTTTCCTTTTGTAACTATCCTGGGTACCAATCTCTAAAATCAACATTAATTACAGCAAAAAAATATTACTGACTATAAACTGTAAGTGGCCACTGAACTTGGCATCATGCTAGTTGGATATAAGTAACAAGAATATTTATCCTCAAGTAGCTTATAGGTACTTGGAGGATGGACAGTATACCTATTTTTTTTAACACATTTATTCATTACCAATCCCTGAAATTGGGTGGTTTAATTATTTAGAGAGGAGCTGTGCTGTGACAATCACCTTTTATTTGGTATCCTAGTTTATTTACAGAGTAAACATCTTCATATAGCCCTTTTCATAGATAACTGGGACAAGGTCAGTCTCTGAATGAAAGTCAAGAAATTCACATGGAGATTTTAGAAAGTTTCATGGCTTGTGGACTCAATATTAGGCCAAATAACACCCAAAGGCCACCTCAAAGTCCTCTCTGTAGCTTGAAATTCTTTCAAATACTTTTGTTTCTGTTTTGCTTTAAAAAATAATTTTACCAATTTTTTCTCCTCCCCTTTCATGCCTTTCTTAGCTATTCCATTTCTTTATGGCAAATAAGTAGGCCAATACATGTGACACTATTTTAATTTTATTAACTTATTTCTCCTTTAATTTTCCCCTTTATCTGTTGTTCCTGTATCTATTTCTAACAATCTTCACTTTCCCCTTCATCAGAGTAAACCTACAGCTATTCCTACTAATTTTGTTTCTGTAACAATTGTATTTATTTATTTTGCTGTTTTTGGTTTTTATTGGTTGGTTTGTTTGTTGAGGCAGGGTCTCACTATGTTGCCCAGGCTGACATGCTGTGGCTTACTGATCACAGCTCACTGCAGCCTTAACCTCCTGAGTCCAGGAGGTGATTCTCCCACCTCAGCCTTCTAAGCAGCTGGGAGTATAGGCATGCACCACCATGCCTGGCTAATTTTTAAATCTTTTGTAGATAGGGGTCTTGCTATGTTGCTGTGGCTGGTCTCAAACTCCTGGCCTCAAGTGATCCTCCTCCCTTGACCTCCCAAAGTGTTGGGGTTACAGGTATGAGTCACCACACTCAGCCAACAATTTAAAGCTTCACCTTTGTATATATTACTGCGTTTCTTTTTATATAGCCTTTTCCATCAGACTGTAGACTTCTTGAGACAGACTTGCGCCATTTTTTTTGAAGACACATTTATTTAGATATAACTTACAGTAAAACTCACTTTTTAAATTATATAGTTCTATGAATTTTGATAAATGCGTACTATCGTGTAATCACCACTACAATAAGATATAGAATATTTCCATCAGCCCCTAAATTTCCTTATACACCTTTGTCAATCCCCATCCCCCTTCCTCCATTAAACCCGGGTAACTAACTGCTAATCTACTTCCAGTTCCTACAGTTTTGCCTTTTTCAGAGTTATGTAAACAGAAGCACAAAGTACATAAGTAGTTTTCTGAATCTGGCTTCTTTCACTTAGTCTTAGCGTAATGCATGTGAGATTCATTCATGCTGTTGGATCAGTCAGAAGTCTGCTCCTTTTTATTGCTGAGTAGTATTCCATCACATACATGTACTGCAGTTTATCCACATGGCAGCTGGCAGATACTTGGATTGCTTCTAATTTTTAGGCTTGCGCCTGTTTCATTGTTGTTTTTAATGTGTATACAAAACTGTGTATCCTCAGCATAGAGAATTTCCATATATGTGTGTGATGCCTTCCTCTTGCATTATTATCCCAAGCCTCACCTTCTTAAAAAAAAAAAAAAAACACCTCGCTTTGATTTATGTGTGTGTTTCTCTATCTTTCTCCTCAGTCTTTTAATGCTCCTCCTTCCCTACCCCCACCTGCTACTGAAATGTACATTTTTGTAATACTAACAGCTGGCTTTTGGAGGAAATTTTCTAAAGCAGAATATTTCTTGGCCTTTGTCGTCTTCCCTTTTTTATAGTTCGCAATTTCCAAAGCCCAAAGATAGTGAAAAAAATTCTTTCAACTCATGCAAAATGAGACTGTGACTCAAAATGTTGGATTATATCAATTAAACGTCAATTTTCCCCCAGGCAATCGATCTGCACTGATCTGTAAATGACTTTTAATAAGTAAGAGGTCCAAATAAATAATACCTTCCTATAAAAAAGAGACTTTTCTCTTTCACTGCTTCCAAAATCCACTCAATGTAAATAAACTCTTGGGCTTGAGTTAAAATTGAAGCTGGCAATTTCAGTTAAAAGAGGTTGTTAGAAACAGACGTTTTTCTTTTTCAGGGACCTTTCTTCAAAGCAGAAAAACTATCTGGCAGGACTCTGAAATCTCACTTGTGTCACAAGTTGACCTATACCTTTCAGCTCTAATATTCTATTACTAAGAAAATGGAACATTAGCCTGGGTGTGGTGGCTCATGCCTAAAATCCCAGCTCTTTGAAGGCAAGGTAGGCAGATTGCTTAAGGTCAGGAGTTTGAGATCATGATGAAACCCCATCTCTACTAAAATTACAAAAAATTAGCCACACGTGGTGGTGCACACCCATAATCCCAGCTACTCAGGAGGTAGAGGCATGAGAGTTTTTTGAACCCAGAAGGTGGAGATTGCAATGAGCAGAGATCATGACATGGCAATCTAGCTTGGGCAACAGAATGACCTGTCTCAAAAAAAAAAAAAAAAAAGAAAGAAAGAAAATTGAAAATTAAACCTTTCCTTGAGAAGAGTATGTAAGAAATGCGAGGAGACACAACATCAGGAAAACTTTGAAGATCGTGAAAAGCAACACAAGAACTATTCAAGGGGCATCCAAGACAAACACAGGTAGATCCCTTGCACTCTAAGGATGCAATTCTTGACAAATATTTATTTCCTGGATATTTTGTCTGTACTGTTAGGTGCTGATATACAAAGATTAAGAAAAACAGTTCTCCATTAAGGTACTCACCTTAAGGTGGCATCGAGATAGAGTTTCTTGATAATGGAGTTTCTAGGTAAAGTAGAAAAGTCTAGGCTTTTTGTGTCATTAGAGAAAAGCTGTGTTACTCAGGAAAAGGGTGCTCAGAAGCAACCACCAGAGAGCATTCCTGCTTAGGAGTCTTATTTCTTGTTATTGCCTAGTGTTTAATAGGCAATAAACAATAGGCAATAACAAGAAAAAGACTGTAGGGTGGTAGAGGAAGAAGTGACAGAAATCCCCAGCCTCTCAGTCTTACCCAAATCTCCAGCTTACCTCAGTGTTTGCCTGCTGATCAAGGTCAAGGTCCTTGTCCTCCAGCTTTTCAATTTGGCCCTTTAGGGTCAGCATGTCATTTAATAAACTGCAAACAGACCAAGAAATGGACTAAGTCCTGCACATTAAGAAAAATTACTCAATAGAGGGGGTAATTTTGATCTTTCAGAACTGAAACACCATTCTCATATAAAAGGATGCTTAGGTAGTGCTTGTATTGCAATGGACAGTAAGCAAAATTCAAAAAAGTTAAAAGCACTCTAAGTAATCTACATAATATTAAAAAGATATGAAGCCTAACTGGACACAGGAGCTAAAAATTAAAAGGATTAAAATGTAAGTTTATAAAATTTCTAGAAAAAAAAACACAGAAAATTTGGGGAACATAGGATTAGGAAAAGAGTTCTTAGGCTTATCATCAATTGCATAATCTGTAAGAGGGAAAATTGCTAATTAAACCTCATCAGAATTAAAACCTTTTGTTTGCCCAAAGATTCTGTCAAATGGATGAAAAGACAAATTAGACACAGGGAAAAATATTTGCTTCGCATACATCTGGCAAAGACCTTGTATCGACACTACATAAAAATCTCTAAAAAACTTAACATTAAAAAAAACCTGTCCAATTAGAAAATGAGCAAAAGGTATGCATAGACATTTCACCAAGAGGCTATATAGATAGCAAATAAACATACAAAAGGATAGTGTATTAACCAAATGCTAATGAGAGTGTGGAAAAACTAGATCATTCATAAATTGGTAGTGGAAATACAAAAGGTTTCAGCCACTCTGGAAAATTGTTTGGCAATTCCTGTCAAAACTTAAAACTAACTTATCATTTGACCCAGCAATTTCATCCTTGGGTAATTATCCCAGAGAAATGAAGACTTATTTCACATAATACATGCATGTTTAAAGCAGCTTTAATCATAATAGCTCCAAACGGGAAATTACACATTTGTCCTTTATTGGATGAATGGTTAAACACACTGTGTAGATTCATATCATGAAAGACTACTCAGCAATGAAAAGGAGAGAAAGATCAACACATGCAACAATTTGGATAAACCTCAAAAAAATTACTCTGAGAGAGAGAAAAAAAAGCCGATCTCAGAAGGACAAACTGCATTATTTCACTTACGTAGCATTCATAAAATAGCATAATTATAGACATGTGAAACAGATTAGTGGTTGCCAGGGGTTAGGGATGGGTGGGAGTAAATGTCTGCATAAAGAGGTAACACAAGTGAGTCTTATGCAATGATTAGCTGAGGATCTGATTGCCATGGTTATGCAAGACTACACAGCTCATAAAATTGCACTGAACTACACACACATGGATGAGTGCATGTATAAACAGTGAAGTCCGAATAAGCTCTCTGGATTGTACCAATGTCAAAATCTTGGTTTTGATGGTGTACTCAAGTTGGGCAAGATGTTACTATTCAGGAATGCTGAAAATAAGGGTTCCTTGTATATGTATTTTTGAAACCTCCTATAAATCTATAATTATTTCAAAATAAAAAGTTAAAAATAAAAATGGAAGTATAGGTAAAGAGGGTTATAAAAGAAAATGGGAGAAGACTTAATAAAGAAGACTAATGTGACTAGTCTCATATTCACCTTCTAGTTTTTGGTCTACAGATCTTTGCAAACTGTAAAGCCCTCTGGCCCAAATACTTCATAACATTAATTCAGAAGATATTTGTTCAGTATTTACTATGTGCCAGGTATTGTGCTGAGTGCTGATGATTATAACAGAAAATAGTATAAGCAAGATCTTTGTCCTTTTGGAGATAATAATGTAATGTGGATTTGCAGGCAGACAAGACAATTCATTGAGAATATTATTAATGTTTTGGGTACTTCTGCTTTCAATCAACATGGAGTAACAGGAATTGGATTTAGCCTCCTATTTTAAACAATTTTAAAATGGAAAGAATATATGAGACAATGGTTTTCAGACGCTGAACAACAGACAGTTCAGGGGCCCTCACAGGTGAGATTGACTCTTTAGTTACTTCAGATTACTCCTGGAAAGAGTTTTTGGACTTCAAGTCAGAGAAAGGGGATTCAGGAGAAGGCTAGTGGTCTCCATGAATTGAGAAGATGAAGTTAGAAGTTCAAGGAGACCATGGAGATTAGATTTGCCCAGCAGAGTGCCAGAGAGGAGACAGCTGCACAGAGAAGAAGTTCCAGAGATCTTCCCACTTAAGAAAGTCCCACTTGGTCCTTCAGCTGAGACACTGATTAGCACACAAGTGTGATTAAACTATTGGAAATGGGAGGGAAATCATAGCAGATTGAAGTGGGCAGAACAATCTCTAAAGATCAAGCAGTGCTGAGAATAATTGCCAGAGTGGAAAACTCTTGTAATACACAAGTTATCAGGTACAACACTCAGAAGGTATAGTTTCAGTAGTAGAGTGAAATAGTCCTAGACTAAAGGCTGCTTTGGTCCTGCCTTGCAACAATGAAAAACAAGTCTCAAAAGGGTCAAACTGCTTCTAAATAACTGTGTTCCAGAATAAAGCTCAAAACTTAAGTGTACACACAAATGTCTCAAGAATACTCAAAACCAAATGAGGTACAATTTACAATGTCTGGCATTCAGTAAAGAATTACTAGACATGCAAAGAAGCAGGAAGCTAAAATCTATAAGAAGCTTTAAAAGCAGTGGCTGACACCTGTAATCCCAGCACTTTGGGAGGCCAAGGTGGGTGGATTGCCTGAGGCCAGGAGTTTGAGACCAGCCTAGCCAACATGGTGAAACCCCACCTCTACTAAAAATACAAAAAAAATTAGCCAGTGTGGTGACATGCACCTGTAAACAAGGCTACTTGGGAGGCCAAGGAAAGAGAAATGCTTGAACTCAGGAAGCAGAGGTTGCAGTGAGCCAAGACTGCACCACTGCATTCTAGCCTGGGTGACACAGTGAGACTCCATCTCAAAAAAAGAAAAGAAAAAACTTAAAAAAATAGAGGCAGTATTAGAAATGTCAGATGATAGAATTATTGATAGATTATTGGTGCCCACCCACAAATAATCAAAGCCAAGTCACCCACCCAACTAATGCTAAAAATACAGCTTTAGAAAAAACTAATCTTTCCCTATGAAAGCCAATGCATAAATTGGAAGAAATGACTATTAAACCAGATATACATCAATGTAAGAACCAAAGAAACATGAAAAAGCAAGGAAACATGGTATTTCCAAACAAGTGAAATAATTTTCCAGTAACATCCAAATGAAAAGGAAGTCTATGAAATGCCTGAAGAATTCAAAATATCGATATTAAATAAAGTCAGTGAGCTATAAGAGAACACAGGAAAGCAATACAAAGAAGTCAAGAAAACAATTCATGATCTGAATCAAACAAATTCTGAGACTGAATAATTCAATGAATGAAATAAAAATACAATAAAGAGCTTCAATAATAGACTAGATCAAGGAGAAGAAAACATTTCTAAACTTTGAAGACAGTTGTTTTGAAATAACTCAGTCAGAAAAAATAAATAAAATAAAATAAAAAAGAAGAAAGAAAGCCCTACCTGACATATGGGACACCATAAGAAAACAAACTATTTGGATATTAGAAGTTCCAGAAGGAGAAGTGGGCAAAGTCATGAAAAAATACAATTTAACAAAAATAATAGCTAAAACTTCCAAAGTCTTGCAGGAGATAAAGACATTCAAATACAGAAAACCAAAGGAACCCCAAATAGATTCATATCAAAAAAAGTGTGCTCCAAGGCTCATGATAGGCAAACTGTCAAAGTCAAAGTCAAAAACAGAGAACTCTAAAAACAGCAAAAGTCACATATAAGGGAATACTCATCAGATTAACATAGGTTTCTCAGCAGAAATCTTATAGGCAAGAAGAGAATGGGATGACATATTCAAAGTACTCAGAGGAAAAAAACTGACAGCTAAAAATACTATACCTAGCAAAACTATCTTTCAAAAAATGAAAGAGAAATAGTTGTTTCCAGACCAGCAAAAAATGAAATAATTCATCACCACAAGAAATGCTTAAAGAAATCCTATATCTGGCATTGAAAGAACAAAATCTGCAATCGTGAAAACTCACAAAAATACAAAATTCACTGACAGAATAGATATACAAATGAGAAAGGGAAAAAAGTCAAAGATTATCACTACAGAAACCATCAAACTTCAATCATAAACAAGAAGGGAACAAAATAAGGCTATACAAAACAACCAGAAAACAATTAACAAAATAACAGGAATAAGTCCTTACATATCAATAATAATCTTGAATATAAATGGATTAAATTCCCCATTTAAAAGATACAGAGTGGCTGAATACATTTTTTTAAAATGACCCAATTATATGCTGCCTAAAAGAAACTAACTTCACTGTAAAGACACATATAGACTGAAAGTGGAGAAATGGAAAAAATATTTCATGCAAATGAAAATCAAAAGCAAGGAGTGGCTATGCTAAGAACAGACTTTAAGTCAAAAACTGTAAAAAGAGACAAAAAAGGGTATCATATAAAGCAAGCAGGAGTGGCTATGCTTAGAACAGTCTTTAAGTCAAAAACTGTAAAAAGAGACAAAAAAGGTATTATGTAATCATAAAAGGAACAATCTAACAAGAGGATACAATAATTCTAAATATATATGCATCCAACACTGGAGGACCCAGATATATAAAGCAAATATTACTAGATCTAAAGGGAGAAACAGACTTCAATACAATAACAGTTGGGGACTTTAATGCCAGACTCACAGCATTGGACATATCATCTAGGCAAAAAATTAACAAAGAAACATTGGATTTAAACTGCACTTTGGACTAAACAGATCTAACAGACATTTACAGAACATTTACTGCAATGGCTGCAGAATATACATTCTTCTCATCAGCACATAGAACATTCTCTGTGATAGACCATATGGTAGGCCACAATACAAGTCACAACAAATTTTAAAACATCAAAATCACATTACGTATCTTCTCAGGCCACTCTGGAATAAAACTAGAAATCAATATCAAGAGGAACTTTGGAAACTATAGAAATGTATGAAAATTAAACAACATGCTCCTGAATGACCATTGGGTCAAGGAAGAAATAAGGGAGGAAATTAAAATTGCTTGATACAAATGAAAACACACACCAAAACTTATCAGAAACAGCAAAAGCCAGACTAAGAGGGAAGCTTACAGCAATAAACATCTACATCAAAAAAGTAGAAAGATTTCAAATAAACAATCCAGCTATGCACTTCAAGGAACTAGAAAAGCAAGAACACACTGACCTATAAATAACAAGTAACCCAGCAACCCAGTTTTCAAAATGGGCAAAACGTAAACAGAATCATCCAAGAAGATATACCTATGGCAAATAAGCACATAAAAAGATGTTCAATATCACTAGTTATTAGCTAAATGCAAACTGAAATGCATTTAAATGGTTGCAGTTAAAAAAGAAGCTGATAATCTCAAGTGCTAGTGAGGATGCCAAGCAACTGGGACTCTCATACACTGTTTGAAAGCCATTTTAAAATCATTCAGTGGTTTCTTTAAAATACAAATAATACACTTATGCTACAACCCAGCATTCCCATTCCTGATTGTTTATACAAGAAAAATTAAAATGTATTTTCACACAAAATCCTATACATGAATGTTTATGGAATCTTTATAATTGCCCAAAATCCTACATGTTCTTCCATTGGTGAATGTATAAAATGTGGTATATTTATATAATGGAACACTATCTAGCAATAAAAAGAATCAAACTACTGATACATGCAACAGCATGGATAACACTCAAATGTATTATACCAAGAGAAAGACAGTAGACTCAAAGACTACATGCTGTATGACTCCATTTATGTGACATTTTGGAAAAGGCAAAACAATAGGGATAGAGAACAGATCAGCAGTTGCTAGCAGCTTGGCCTGGGGAGTGTGGTTAACTATAGTAGAGCATGAGGGATTTGCAGTGAAAAAAGTGTTCTGTATCTTCACTGTGGTGATGGCACAACTGTATGCATTTTTCAAAACTTGCAGACCTGTATGCTAAAAAATATAACTTTACTGTATGTAAATTATACCTTATTTTTTTTAAATGTAATTTATGATGTTGAATCAATAAAACCACATAATTTTTAAAAATAATATTATAAATGCTTTGGAAGGTTTTTTTTTTAAAAAGCCCATTTTTGATAGGATGGTCAAAAGAAGCCCTCTGTAAAGAGAGGTTTAACTGAAAGGTGAGGAAACAGCTAGGAGAAGAGTAGCCCTGCTAGAGGAAATAGTTTGAATGTGGTAGGAAAGTTCAGAAGGCCAGAGATATTTATTTCTAAGAATAGCTTCCATTCATTAATAGTTATACACCAAGCCTTGTTTACATACAGAATTTTACTGACTCCCCGCAATAAATCAATGAAGTAGCTGTTATTACCTCCCTTTCACAGAAGAAGAAAGTTGAGGCTTTCGAAAGGTTGGTTCATTTATCCCAAAAATGTCAGTATCAGGAAGCAAACCTGGGTCCCTTTGACTCCAAAGCTCATTCTCTTTATACTAGTGTCTAGGTAAATAACAATTTATTTTATCCTTTTTTTTTTAATCTTAAAATTTTTCATTTAAATTCAGAGACACATTAGCAAATATACTTTCCATTTTTTTTTTCTATGACATGCTGCTGGCTTAGACAATATTGAATAACCCCTAAGGATGACTGGAGGCCTAAAGGCCTTCCTTTGACACTAGTAACACAGACTCAAAGAAACAATGTAGAAGAGAGATCTTCTAGAGATGAGAGAACAAAGATACAGGTAACTTGGATTTAATTTTTGAGATTTTGACATTGCCTTCTAACCATAAGACTTCTTGTCCTAAAGACTTTATCATCTTACGCCCGAAGTTTAAGTTTTTAAAGCTATGAAACTTTCTGCTATTTTATGACCAATGCCCAACACCCTACAATTACCTGTTCACTGTGTTTTCTATTTCATATACTTTTTTAACAATATTGTCAATTTTCTCCATTCCATTTATGTAATCAGCTCCAAGTTCTTTCACTTGGAGACCTATCTTTGCATTCCAGTAGTTTAGCTTGAGGAGCATGTCCTTTAGGCACCTTCAGAAATATTATGATGATCAGTTTCAAAGCAGAAAATGGGAAACAACTCACATAGCCTGAAACACTCTTCCTTTGAATAGCGAGTTGATCTGTTTAGTCATCCTTGGCCAGGTGGATATACAAGCCTCAAGAAAAGAAGTTTGGGCATTTATTTGATATCCACTTTAACAGATATTTAAAAGACTTGATGAAACAAAGCATATTTTATGTTTAATAAAAAAAGATATATTTTTAATTTCCCTGTGTGGAATGAACATTAAACACTGATAATAAGATAGTGGTTACATCATGGTAGGTGGGGAGAGGTTATACAAAAGGAAAAGACCCAAGGGCTTTACAACATACTCTTAATGATAATTAAGTTTTCCTATCTAGAAAATTATCTGAGAAGGTTGACATATATATTAATTTCAGGCTTCAAAGAAGAGTTTGCTCTTTCTTTTTTTCCTGTGCTCTGTCTATATCCCTAAAATGTCCTTACTCCACATTATTGCTAGATCATGTAGGTAGTTACCTATGCACAGGAGTGCTTTATGGTTCAAGACATGTATGAATTTTAAATCTTCCAAACTTTCCCTAAGTTCTCTGCTTAAATTCCATTTTCCCCTCTACACATTAATAAATGCTCTCTCTTGCATGTGTCAAGTCTTACAACTCAAGGATGTTCTTCTTTGACAACTGCAGAGATGTAGACGATTGAGAGTCCTCATCAATATCTGTTCTTTGCTCATCCTTTTCACTCAGGTCCTGGTCATGCTCAGCCTCCAGCTCCAACATATCCTGGTAAAAATGATGATGGAAGGAAAGCAGAACAAAAGGTTGCTACAAGATGTGGTGGTTCTTTCAACCCTACCCAATCCCCTCTCTGGGATCAAGCAAACAGTCCTCTCTGAGACTGGAGCCTTCTGATACATCTGTAAGCTAAGCAGACATGCCCTTCTGCTCTGTCTATAGAGGAAGGCTGGGGCAAGGGCATAAAGAGAATCAGTGTCCACATGCAGAGCTCTTTTCAGTCCTGATGAGTAATTGAATTCCATCTGACCATGGACTCCAACATTCCACTCAAATTAGATGACTGTTCTGGTCTATTCAAAAAACAATCAATGTCATAAAAAAGAAAAGGTGGTGGGATTCTTCTATATTAAGAGATATGAAAACCAAACATGTTGCGTAGATCTTTTAGGATGCTGGTTTAAAAAATATGGCTGTAGAGGGGGGGACAATTAAAGAAATTAGAATGTTGAGAGAATTGAGATTAGTTCATTAACACTAATTTTCCAGATGGAATAACTGTATTTTGTACCAAAAAGTTTTATTTTCAGAGATGCTTTTTGAAGTAAACAGGAGTGAGGTATCATGCTGTCTTCGACCTACTTTTAAATGGTTCAGAAAGTTTCATCTATTTATATATATAAAGATAAAGCAATGTGACAAATGTGAAAGATTTTTAACCACAGGTGTGGGAATATGGTTATCCATTGCATAATTCTAAGTTGTCCCTTTATTTAAATTGTTTCATATCAAAGATTTTGGGGGGAAAGACTACTCTATTAGTTTGATCAATAAAATTTACTTTTTTGTTTCTGTATTCTTTCCCTTGTTCTGGAAGAACATCTAAGGCATGTTCTTGCATTTCAAGTCTCTGCATGCAAAAATGGACAATAATTTATCCTTGAACACTTCTTTCATAACTATAAAATATTTCTTCTGTCTTTTGAATAAGTTTGATCTGAATTTCCTGTGTTTCAGCAGAACTATTTTTTTTTTTTTTATTGTACTTTAGGTTCTGGGGCACATGTGCAGATCATGCAGGATCATTGCATAGGTACACACATGGCAATGTGGTTTGCTGCCTCCATCCCCCCATCACCTACATCTGGCATTTCTCCCCATGTTATCCCTCCCTGACCTCCCCAACTGACCCTCCCTTAGCCCCCCACCAACATACCCCAGTGTGTGATGCTCCCCTCCCTGTGTCCATGTGTTCTCAATGTTCAACACCCACCTATGAGTGAGAACATGCAGTATTTGATTTTCTGTTCTTGTGTCAGTTTACTGAGAATTATGGTTTCCAGATTCATCCATGTCCCTACAAAGGACAGAGACTCATCATTTTTTATGGCTGCATAGTATTTCATGGTTTATATGTGCCACATTTTCCTTGTCCATTCTATCGTCGATTTGCGTTGGCTCCAGGTCTTTGCTATTGTAAACAGTGCTGCTATGAACATATGTGCGCATATGCCTTTATAATAGAATGATTTATAATCCTTTGGGTATATATGCAGTAAGGGGATTGCTGGGTCAAATGGAATTTCTATTTCTAGGTCCTTGAGGAAGCGCCACACTGTCTTCCACAATGGTTAAACTCAGAACTATTTTTAAAGCCGGGCGCGGTGGCTCAAACCTGTAATCCCAGCACTTTGGGAGGCCAAGGCGGGTGGATCACGAGGTCGAGAGATCGAGACCATCCTGGTCAACATGGTGAAACCTCGTCTCTATTAAAATACAAAAAATTAGCTGGGCATGTTGGTGCGTGCCTGTAATCCCAGCTACTCAGGAGGCTGAGGCAGGAGAATTGCCTGAACCCGGGAGGCGGAGGTTGCGGTGAGCCGAGATCGCGCCATTGCACTCCAGCCTGGGTAACAAGAGTGAAACTCCGTCTCAGAAAAAAAAAAAAAAAAGAACTATTTTTAAACTGGAAGGAGAAAAGTTTGGAGGAGGGAGAATAGATCAGTTTCTTTTTTAAATGTCTATGTAAACTACTGGCCAAATCAATAGAAATAATAACATTCATGTAACTCTTTAGAAATTACTTTCATGTGCATTGTTTATTTTCATTCTTGTGTGGCCATTTGTGTTTAGTGACTTGCCCAAGGTCATAGAGTATAGAGAGTTAAGTGGTGGCCCCGAACAGAAAGGTCCATGTCCTAATACAGAACTAGGACCCCATGCATATTATTTTATTTGGAAAAAGAGTTTTTGAAGATGTAATTAAGAATCTTGATATAAGATCATCTTGAATTACTTGAATGGGTTCCTAAATCCAATGACAAACATCCTAATGAGAGACAGAAAAGAAGACACAGACACAGAGAAGAGATGAAGGATGTGAGGATGTGAAGATGTGAGAATGAAGACAAGAGACCAGAGTTATGTAGTCACAAGCCACTGAAGGCCTGGAAGCCCAGAAGCTTGAAGAAGAAGGATTCGGAAATAGCTGAATTCTATTGGAAGACAATCTGTGAGCAGGGGGTGATTTTTACGTATGGTCATATGGTGGTTTGCTCAAAGGTGAGAAATGTCACAGTTATTTCATAAATTCCCAAGGATAAAAATAACATATAATTCATTTTTTTTTTCCATGGGAAGGCTAGTAAGGGCCTCATGTGGTAACAGCAGCATCCAGTCGAAACAATGTATCCCCTGCCTCCCTCTTAGTTCCAAGCTCTGAAGTTCTGCACCAATTAGGAGAAAACCCTCAAACAGTTTCTTACCACTTTGAGATACATGGTGTGAAGTTCTTCTCTTCAACCTACTGTGTCATTTAAGTGTCTCTCTTACCCACTTTCAGTGTCTACCTTGTGAAGGAAGTCAGTTTGAGGGTCTTCAGAGGTAATGTCGTCCTCATCATCTGATCTGTCTAAGATGTGGTCCATTTCGGTAATTTTCTTTAGCAAACTGCAAGCCATACAATCCAAACAGAGGCTGTTATTATGCCCTGGGGCCAGAGCTTGCGCCTGCCCTACTCCTTTCCAAAGGGAGAACACTAAGAACTTTCCCAGCCCCAAGGAGCACCTGCTATCCTTGTACTGAGTTCCTTCTGTGTGAATAACACCTCACATAATACATCTCACAAAGTAGAAACAGAAGGGCTGGATAAGTAATAATTGGCTGAATCCATAAAGTATTTAACAGTGAGATTCTAAATTCCAAAGTAACTGCAGTTCTGCGCATATGTATGTATGCATAAATGAGTGTGCGAAATCAACAAATAAGTAAATTAATACCCTGTTTTAAAAAGTGGAGTTTAAAAACGTTGTATGGTTCAATCATGGGCAGTGAAGAGTAGGTCTACAATGCCCTCTTGATCTCTACCCCCAGCTGTCTTCCCCACAATGTTTACTAGCTTCTTCTTTATTTTCAACAGAGATTCTATGCACAAATAAGCAGAGATGTTTACATATGCATGTATCTATATCTATATCTATCCCTATATACATACAGAATAGACCCTTTAAAATATATGTGGGGGGATATTTATATAGTCTATTCTGTGCATAAAAGCACTTTGAATTTCTTGTTTAATAACCTATTTTGGAGTCCATTTCATATTAGTACATACAGAGCTGCTTCGTTTTTAAAATGGCTACATGGTATTCCATTGTGGGGCTGTATGATAATTTTCCAATCAGTTTTTTAATTAACAGATACGTAGAATTTTTCCAATCATTTGCTACCACAAACAATGCTGGAATGAATATCCTTACACAACTATATGTTGTTGTGTATGTGTGCAGCATATCTATTGGATAACCCTACAAGTAGAACTTCTAGGTAAATAGATATGTATATTCTAAATTTTGATAGATTTTTAACCAAGGTATGCTTTAAAGAGGTTGAATCAATGTACACTCTCAGCAAAAACGGTAAGAGTGCCTGTTTCCCACTCCTGTCTAAAACCATGTGCTACTGAAGTTTCTGATCCTTGCCACTTTGGTATGTTGAAACTCATATCTCATTTTGGTGTTAGTCTCATTTTATGTATGAGGTTGAGTATCTTTACCTATGTGTATAAAACTCATTTTTATTTCATTTTCTAAAATAAGGGTGTTGATAGCCTTTGTCAATTCCCTACCAGACTGTTGTTATTAATATTTTGCTGAAGAGCCTATATGTTCTCTCTCATATGCTTTCGAAAGGGTCACAGTAAATGTGTGATACATGTCTATAAAAGTAGTTCCCAGTCTATGGGACTTGAACCCTGAGGGTGGAGGTGTTGTCAGGGTGGAGAGACAGTTGAGTTGCTTCACATCCATACTGCTTAGAAGGCGATCCTAGAACCTATAAAGATTTCTATAGACTGAATAAATACTGCCTATAGGAAAAAAAAAACTTATATGAAAAACTGCCCCAATAAATTATAAATGAATTTAAGAACATCTTTGATATCATAACAGCTTTCTTGCCATATGAGGGGTTCTTGGAAAATCGTTTCCCTTAATAATGTTTTTCTAGTTAAAAAGGTTGTTAATCATAGCTAAATTAGTATGCATTTTTAACATGTACTAGCAAATGTATATATGTGTTTATACCACTGTTTGTATTCCCTCAATGCCAGAAAGTATTTTAAATGGCTTAGATCTTTAGCAGGTAAAGAGAGTGAAGCCAGAAAACAATCAACATATTTTCTCAGATTGAGATTAGCGTCTGGACAACTTTTTAAAATGGGTATCTGGCCAGTTTATGACTGTGGGCCTCTTTAGCTTCTCAAAAGGGCTACTACAGTAAATATTCCTGAGATAAAAATTCGATAAATTATAGAAAAGACTGCCAACCTAGACCCGAACCTGGAAATATCATCATTTGCATATCACTGGTTCAAGAATGTCTACAGTTGGGACCCTAGAAACTGCTTCTGCAAGCTCGGTTCTGACTTACTCCTGCATTGCGCCTTTAGTCACATTGAGCTTTTGGAGAAAGCCACTGTTGCTCTCTGTCAATGGTTGTTCCTGGCAGTCCATCTTCATCTGCAGAGACACCTCGTCATTTAGATTTGTGGGCATGAGAGCCATTTCCCTGGCACTGTAAGAACAATAACCACAACAAGAGGGATTTTATGGCAGGATTGGCAACCACATCCTCTGGGCTGACACCAGCTGACGTCTTCCTCAGGGTGTCTGGCTTTAATTTATACCCTTCCAAACTGGCTGTTCATTGTAAGGGACCCCAAAGTAAGCTCTTAGGTTTCTCTTCTCAAGTATATGTGAGAAAGTCCTGTGTGGTTATCTCCAAGGACACACCTCTAGAGAAGAGTCTAAGCTGGTAAATGTGCATTTTGAATGCTCAACGGAGAATACAATAGAGGAATACACAATAACCAGCCTGGAAGAATGGGAACTTTCATTTTTATAACCTCTTTCTGACTATATAACAATAAGCATATTGTAAACAGTAAAAAAAGGCAAAAGAAGAAAGTAAAATCATTGGTACTTCAGAGGTAACCAGAGATAATCCCAGAGATATCCAGACTTAAGCACTGTTAATATTTTAGTATATTTTATTTCTGCTTCTAAATTTGGTGTTTGTTTTATTCTTTTTCCATTGTTGAAACTAGGTTATTTCTAATTGCTCAGTAGTATAAGTAATGCAGTAATGAATATCTTTGTTTAGTAATTTTCAGTGCACATCTAATTACTTAAGACACTTCCTTAGAGGTGGAATTGCTGGGTGAAAGGGGTTTGCCCACATTTTTAAGGATTTAGACAAATATTTCCAAATTGCTTTCCAAAAGGTTTAACTAATACACATCAGCATCAGCTGTATGTAAGAACAGGAACCTGCATTCCAGTCTGATAGGCGAGTGTTCTCTGGAGAGCAGAGGAGTGAATTGCTGCAGTACTTAAGTAGCATGAAAAATAACACGGAAAGGAAACAGGAAAGAAGGTGGAGACGTGTGAGATAGGCTCTGAGAAGCCCAATATGAAAATCTGTAGGGAAAGGACAGATGCAAAACAACTCCTAGTTATAGGCAGAAATCAGTAGGGTGTGTCCAGGCCAGACAGGAAGAAACCTCTTCTGGATATTCAAGTGAGTGATAGCAGTAGATTGGCCTAGAACTAGAGGGTGTCCTGGATCCCAGGACCCTGAGGGACAGAGGGGATGACAGACTCACGGGAAGAGAAGGCATTTTTTCTGCAAGGGTGATTTATAACAGGGACTAGCAACCAGGAGGAAGAACCGGGAGGAGGGAGGCCCTGGGAATGAATTAAAATTATTTGGACACACAAGGGCTTGGTCGATCATTCTGTGGCAGAATTGAGCTTTGTTCTTGACCTGTGTGGTATAAAGGGGGACCCTGTGAAAGAGAAACATCAGGACAGAACTAGAACCCTTGATGGTGATGGCGCCATTCTTTTTAACTTTGAATGTGACAAAGAATAAACCTTTGACCTCCCTCAGGAAGGTCACTGTGGCCTGCCAATTTTATCGCAGCCCCTATCCGGACAGTTTTGTCCATTTCCTGAAGGTGCTAAGCATTACAAAGGGAATTGCAAGCTCTGAAAGGCGAACAGACACTGAAATCTGATTTGTTTACTGTTTTTCTGGTCCAAAAAATAGAATACCATAAAAGTAATAAAATTTCCTTATTTTGACAACACTCTGACATCTATCTCAATGGCTTCCCCAAGAGTGATTTCAAAGAAAATATGCTCTATCAATTCAGGCACCTACCCAAATTCTGTCTCCATACATTCTCTCACATTTTACCTAACAATTAGAATCCTAACAATGGCTTATGTCTGTGCAGCCCCTAACAGATTACAAAATGCCTTTCACATATTTTCTCATTCAGTTCTCACAACAACATGATACAGAGGGTATTATCCCCATTTTATGCATGTAATAATGGAGCCTCTCAGAGATGATGTGATTTACTTACAGACGGATATAAGGAGTAAAGCCTGGACTCAGAGCTTCCATGTCCTCACAGCTACTGATAAAAAGATTTTTCCCACCTCCCACCTTCAAACATGACCTAGACCAGGGCTCTCCAACAGAACTTTCTGTTTTGATGAAAATGTTCTCTACACTGTTCCATACAGGAGCTACTAGCCACATGTTTCTATTGAGCACTTGAAATGTGGCCAATGAAACTAAGGAACTGAGTTTACAGCCACATGTGCCTAGCGACTACCATTTTGGACAATTCAGAATTTTTCCTTTTTTCTTTTTTTTTTTTTTTTGAGACAGAGTCTTGCTGCACTGCCAGGGTGGAGTGCAGTGGCATGATCTTGGCTCACTGCAATCTCTACCTCCTGGGTTCAAGCAATTCTCCTGCCTCAGCCTCCCTAGTAGCTGGAATTACAGCCATGCACCACTACACCCAGTTAATTTTTGTATTTTTAGTAGAGACAGGGTTTCATCATGTTGGCCAGGGTGGTCTCGATCTCCTGACCTCATGATCTACCCGCCTCGGCCTCCCAAAGTGCTAGGATTACAGGCATGAGCCACTACGCTTAGCAGACAACTCAGAACTTTCTAGAGCAAGGATCGTCAAACTGTGGCCTGCAGGCAAAATCCAGCCTGCCACCTGTTTCTAGAAATGACATTTTACTGCAACACAGCCACACTCATTCCTTTACAAACTGTCTATGACTGCTTTTGCACTGCCATGAGAGAGTTGAATGGTTGTAGGAGAAATCATTTGGCATAGAAAGGCTAAATGTTTACTATCTTGTCCTTTACGGAAGAAGCACACCAACCCCTGTTCTAGACTATGACTTTCTCCTATGATGTTTGGTGTTTGCTACAATCAATCAGATGAAAGCAGTAAATAAGAGCTTAAATTTTGGAAAGTCAGCTGAGTTCGAATTCTAGCATCAACACTTCACAGCTGGGCATCATCTTATTGTAGGGAGGGGCCTCGCTTTTTCATCTGTGGAATGGGGCTAACACTATTAATACTAATATTATTAGAGATGTGAGGAGTAAAATTGCACTTAACATGGTGTCAGGTAAATAGCAAACACTTGGTAATGTTATCGATCTATCTATTAAATATAAGCAGTGGAAATGGGAGCAATTAGTAAAGTTTGTTTACCTTTAAATAACACAGTAATAAAAGCAATGCTTACACACATGCAGCACTTTCACTAAGCTGTTGCTTCTGACCCTCACAGTTACCCTGTGGTTAGCCAGCCATGGCAGATCTCATTACCTCTATTTTGTCGGAAGAAGAAACTGAAACGCAGAGATGACCCAGTACTTGCCCAAAGTGTTATTGCTAGAAAACGGTAAAATCAGGTTGGAAACCTGCAAATTCTGAAGTTTTGTGGTCATCTATTATAGTTATACTACTATTTATAATCATGCATAAAATCAATGCCCAGTATGTCTTAATGGGTTTGTTAACAGCTGTCTTACCTCACAAACAATCCATCTTTGGAAGCTAACATTTGACTAGTTACATAGTGCAAATCCTTACTGCTCAAGTGTGCCTGCAGCCCAGCAGCCTCAGCGATTCCGGGGAGTTTGCTGAACATGCAGACACTAGGTCCCACCCAGACTCACTGAACCAATGCCTGCCTTTTAGCGAGATTTCAGGTAATTCATACACATATGAAAGTTGGGAGTTACTCACATTCTAGACCTTTAAGAACAGACTCCCTCTTCTTCTCCCTACACCCCTTGTCTTCATTCCTGTATGTTTACACCATTGGCTTTCTAGGATTGTTTGGTACAACTGGAGGGGATCCCTCCTCCTTCCCTCACGCCCTATAAAAGCCTTTCAAATTACACATTTGGAGAAGCACAAGTTTGAATCAAAAGGAACAATCAATTATTTTAAAAAACAGTTGATGTAATCACTAACTTACATTGTGAGGGGATTTCTCCAGCCTGACCACCCAGATTACCCTCTTCAGTTCCTGCTATTTGGACAATCTGGGATTTCAGAAACCTGTCAAAGCCATCGTACTAATACTCAGGAATTTGATGTCACTATAGGCTCCTGATAAGGTCATAATGAAATGGTATACTCTGAAATAATACCTACCTGGAGATATCTTTGCTCTTCCCAATTTGGTAATCCCGAATATCTCTGAGTTCAATGAAATAGACTAGCAACAGTCAAGGTTTCCTGTTCCAGTGATGCTATAGCCTCCCTTCCTCAACACCCAAGACAGAGAGGAAGCCATTTAAGAGTGGGGAACACCAAGGCAGGTAAGTGTGCTGGACTTTCCCTTTATGACATTCCTCTTGGAATGCGGTGCACGCAACCCCCTCTCACAAGATTCTAGGTGTGCAGTGCTCTCCTGCCTTTCTTCTACCTGGCCCTTCTAGCCTGCCTCCCAGCCTCCTCACTTCTCTTGCTAACTCTGGAAACTAAGTCCTTCTCCCACCCCAGCCCTCTGTCCACCCATCTACTGGCCTCTGATATGGTATTGTGGAATGCTCTCCCAACCTCAGCTTCTTCTGCCACATCTGCTCTTTTCGTCTCATCTGAACAGAACATCTGGCTTTCTCACAGAGGCTCAAAGACCGACAATGAAGGACGTCTTCCACTCATTCCCCAACTCAGCAGTAATGAGCAAGCATTTGATTCTTCTTTTCTTTTTTTGAGTTGGACTCTCACTGTGTCACCCAGGCTGGAGTGCAGTGGCACGATCTCAGCTCACCGTAACCTCCGCTTCCCGGGTTCAAGTGATTCTCCTGCCTCAGCCTCCCGAGTAGCTGGGATTACAGGCACCAGCCACCATGCCCAGCTGATTTTTGTATTTTTAGTAGAGACAGGTTTCACCATGTTGGCCAGGCTGGTTTCAAACTCCTGATCTCAAGGAATCTGCCCACCTGGGCCTCCCAAAGTCCTGGGATTACAGGCACAAGCCTCTGCACCTGGCCCAAGCATTTGATCTTCTTGCAAACTAGGGATGCTCCAACTTTATACCTCTGTCACCTCTTCTCCTTCGAAGTCCACACTTCCTCTTATTATCACACTTTTACAACACACCTTCACCTTCTTCCAGGACTTCAGGGCCAGCTACACATTTCCTGCTGTATCACATCCTCTCCTATTATTCTTG